AGCCTGGAGCCTGTTTCCGATTCTGTGTCTCCCTCTCTCTCTGCCCCCTCCTCCGTTCATGCTCTGTCTCTCTCTGTCCCCAAAATAAATAAATGTTGAAAAAAAAATTAAAAAAAAAAAAGAATAGAGTATTATGAGTACCATGAACACCTACGTTCATCCCTCTTTACTCTTGGTTGGCATTACCTCCTTGGTCTCTTTCCACTTTTTTGTTCTTTCCTACCTAGCATTTCCAAGTTTTGATAGCAGAATCAAGGCCTCAACAAACTAGGAAGGTTCACTAGAAGATTTGACAAATGAGGGTTAACAGCCGAGTGAATGAGGTGGACTAAGGGGAAAAGTAAATAAGAAACAGGATGCTCAGAGGCAAGAGTGAGAAACCATATTGTGTGTGCCAGGATATGAAACACACACACACACACCCATACCATCTAGCAGTTCTTCATCTGAATGAATAAGTGGAAAAGAGTGGAAAAATAATCAGGATGGAGAAGAAGAGAGCCATGTTCCATGAGCTCGGCTTTATAGCCCAGGGGCTTTGGGAAAATTATTTTAGGATTTTAGGCAAAGAGGCGTAGGGTCTTATTTGGTTTTAGGTCGTTTCTCAGATGTGTACTGAGAGATATGGAACTCTCAAGCTTATTTTCAAAGTTTAGTTTTCATAGGAAGTTGACTTTTTTACCTAAGTAAGGAAGAGATCAGAGGCATGAATCATTCAAAATGGATCATTTTAAACAGGTAAAATAAAGTAGGTAATTAAATTATATTTTATGCCAAAGTTAATTTAAAAAAAATTTTTTTAGATGTTTATTTATTTTTGAGACAGAGAGAGACAGAGCATGAGCAGGGAAGGGGCAGAGAGAGAGGGAGACACAGAATGGAAGCAGGCTCCATGCTCTGAGCTGTCAGCACAGAGCCCGACGCAGGGCTTGAACTCAACGAACCGTGAAATCATGACCTGAGCTGAAGTTGGACGCTTAACCGACTGAGCCACCCAGGCGCCCTGCCAAAGTTAATTTTAAATCATTTAAGTAAGTCATCCCAAATTCAAGACTTTGCTCTTTTATGTTTGTATCCTGTTTTTCACCTCATGCCAGGAATAAAGGCATACTTTATGATCATACTTCCAAAAGCATTGGAAATTAGCAAAACATTCCTTTGCATTTACTATCTTTTTTTTATTAAAAAAATTTTTTTAATGTTTTTTAAATTTTTTTTTGAGAGACCAAGAGAGACAGAGCAGGAGAGGGGCAGAGAGAGAGGGAGACACAGAATCAGAAGCAGGCTCCAGGCTCTGAGCTGTCAGCACAGAGCCCGACGTGGGGCTCGAATCTTTGAACCGTGAGATCATGACCTTTTCTCCTAGAAAATGTGAAAAGTGAGTAAGAACATAGTGATCAGAGTAGATGTTTCTTTTAAGTGGAACTTGGCTTCTCTTCTGTAGAGTACATATCCATGTCCAGGTATAAGGAACTACAGAGCAATTATTATGTGCTTTTTAAAATAAAGACCATAATTTGATAGGCACTGAGTCTGTTTTATATTTCAGTTTTTCCATCTGCTAATTGAGTCATTAAAATTTTGTGGCTCTAAATATTTGAAATCATTTTGGACACCCAAATTTGGAGCACTACTTTCCTTATTGTGATAATTTCTGGGGGATTGTTGAGGTGAGGAAAGGGAGTTTATTTGCTTAAAATAATAGAGGTTTAGTAAGGGACTGGTAATACTTGTTTGATAGGAGCACTATTTCATCTGCATCTTCCTTGAAGAGAAAAGCAGTGGACAGGAAAGGCACATACAGCACCACAATCTAATTACAAAAACAAAATCTATTTCTTTGGAACTAGTGGTATGAATCATTCTAGAAAATCATTTCTAGAGCTTTTACCTTTTTAAGCTTCTTAAGATTTATGATTTTAAGACTCCCAGGTTTCCTTTTTCCTTTCCTTTCCTTTTTGCTAAGCATGTTGGATGGAAATGTGCATGATCTCAGACTGCTGCACTGTCATTGTTCTTGCCCAAGGGAGTCCTAGGTTCATTTATTGTATTTGTTTTTGCTTGGTTAGAAGTTGAACAACCAGGCTTGTAAAAATTGTATAGGAAATAGAAGATGTGGGGGCATTATTGTCATTTATTATTATTTTTTTTTAATAAAAGCTTTATTGAGATAATCTACATAGTATACAGTTCAGGGGTTGTTAGTCTCTTTGCAGAGCTGTGCAACCATCACCACAATCGATTTTAGAGTATTTTCATCACCCCTTAAGAAACTGGCACTTGTTAGCAGTTAATCTGTATTTCCCTCCAGCCCTGGGCAACCAGTATATTGCATTAACTTTTATCATATTAACTTTTTTCTGTGTGGTTTCTTAAGGATCTTTTGCTCCTTTTTTTTTTTTTCCCTGCTAAGTGGTGCAGCTCCAGATGGGTGAAGTATTGCCAAAAAATTATCCTGCCTTTACTCAAAATTCAATATACTGATTTTGGTGATATGTTTCCTTTATTATACCAATAAAATATTTCCTTTTGGCCATTTTTGAGGGAAAACTAGA